ATCCAACCACTTAGATGCATTTCTGCTCTTTCAATTTTATTAATAGGAGGTGTTTTTTAATGAATAATTGATTTAGCTAATTATATTAAAATATTTAATACAGCAGACAATATATATTCCATCATTCTATTTATAAACCTTTTGAACCATAACTAAATCTCTGCTACTCATAAATGGGATAGGTGGTTTAATTCTTACATAAATAATTCTTGTATTGGCATCTATTTATTCAATTACATGAGCCTATTAATATTATGTGGAAAATATACAGTTTCTACTTTTTCATCATATAATGGTCTTTTATTGACATCAGCAACTAAATCTAAAATCTATTCAGGTGTTCTAGCAATTTCAGTTTGAGATCTATTCATATTAATACCATTTTCTGGATTCTTCTTTGTATATACTATATATCCTTCTTTATTTTAAAATAATTCCCACATATTTTATTCATTTATTTCCTGCCATTTCATCATTTTGTTTTTGGCCTCTATTCAATCAAAATATATGAAATACCATCAATGATTGCTTCGTAATTTACTTACATAAATAATAATATATATAATTGTTTTCATTAATTCAATAATATTTAAATCAATATATATTCCATAATAATAATATTAAAGATTATTTTATTGTTTATTGATGCATTCATCTTACATAATAATATAGAATAAGTAGTAATATTGAATATCCATTTTATATATTTCATTTATTCTTTTTATGATTATCCTCTTAATTTATATGTAATTAATCATGCTTAACAAAATTAATAAATTATTATTATCATATTATAAACTATTCATCAAATGTTAGCTTTATTTTTTGTATTTATTAATTAAAGTTCTTGAATCACTCTTTTTTAATATATTTATAGATATAAATTTTAAAAACCTATTTATTAAATAGAGATAGTGAATATTCATAATAATAATTTATTTTTTTGGTGAAATTCATATAATATTATCAAATTAAGATATAAAATAATAGACAAAGATGATTGAAAATAATCTTTAAAACAATGTAAATTGTGTTATAATTTAATAAATAAATGATTATTTTTACATGTGTATAAGAAAATACAAATAAATCTAATTCTATTACATCTATTACATTTAATTATTATATAAAAAATATAGACAATTCCTGATCTCTAATAGAAATAAATTACAATTTAAGAATTAATAAACAACTTTTTCATTAATATTAATATTAATGTCTAATTTTGAAGAAAGAAAAGACCTTTTTAACAAATTTCAAGCACTTGTTAATTAACTTACCTCTTTTTTAGAAAATTAGCAAAAAGTTTCTGGTCAAGAAACAAACTACTCACTATATGGTGATGAGGGTAAATATCTATTAAATATCAATAATTAGAGGGTACAACAGAGATCATCAGCGATTATATCTCTAAATTATAGAATTTGTAATGTGCTCTTGATTTTTCTGAATAAATATTATATTTGATACCATTAGAAAAAGATAAACTTTAGATTCATTTAAACGAAAGTCTGATTCAAAGAAGCAAATTAGGATCGTCAATATTGATTAGTAATTTCATAAATTAAAATTCTGAAATTGAAAGAGCAAAAATAGATGATCTTCATAAAAAATTATCTTAATTTATAAAAAATTACTCAGAATCTAATCATATAATTTGTTCTCAACATAATTAAAAAGCTGAATTTATTGATCTATCAAATAATAATAATATTATAGATAGAAGAGTATGTATTAATTGTGATAAAATAAAAGTTAGAACAACAGATTTATTGGAATAATATTTAATGTAATTTTTTTATTTTAAAATATAATCAGACTAAAAAAGAATTGATATTAAAAAGTAGATAGAATCTATTATTTAATAAATTCGTTTTTAAAAAAATATTGAAAATTTTTATATTGATAAAGACAAATTATTTTAAAAAAGAATTGATATCATTGATGAAGTTTTGAAATCTTAAAATATAGATTTAAAATTAATATCTGATATTGCAATAGATTTTGCATAGACTTAAACAAATTTTAATAATTATTCAGGATAATTTATGACAAAATTAGAAGAAAATTTGTAATAAGACTTTATTATTGTATAAAAATAATTGAATTATTTGCTTAATAGTTTGAGTCAAGGATAAAAATAAATTATTGATTCTGGGATTAAATTATCAAGTATTAATGATCAATAACTTAAATTAACTAAGTTATAATAAGAAGAATAATCTGAAAAATGTTAAGCTTTATGCTTTAATAAAGATGATTAATGGATAGCAACAGCAAAAAAAAATGTCATAATAATTTGGAGTTTCTAAGGAGGAAAAATGAATTCGAAAAAACCATTAAATGGACATTAGGATGAAATAAGTTGTCTACTTTTTAGTAAGGATTCAGATGCTCTTATTTCTGCAGGAGGAGATTAAGATTGTTTAATAAATCTTTGGGAGAAAAAAAAAGAATATGAATGGAAACTTTCAAAAAGTTTTCAAAATAAAGGAGGCATAAAAGTCATGCTATTAAATAAGAAGGGAGATGAATTAATTGTCGGTACATAGAAAGGCTAAATATTAAGATTTAAAGTCAATTTCCAAATTTTAACCTTAGAATTAATTACAGAATATCAAATTGATCAAAATTAAAAACCTATATTTGGACTTAGTCTTAATGATGAATAAAAATATTTAGTATAATGTGGGTAAGATAAGATTTTAAGATTGATTTCATTTGATCAGAATATAGAAATTCAATTAAAGTTACTTTGTACAGAAATAGGAATGAGGATCAAATTTATTAACAATACATCTTTTGTGTTGGTTCAGAAAGATGGTATGTTAATATATTATAAAATTGAATGGCAAAAATTTACTGAAATATAAAGACTTAATTTAAACTCAATAAATTAAGACTATTCTTATTCTCCTATTTGGTATAACTCAGATAAAAAATTGTTAATTGTTAAACATAATAAATCAATACACTTTTTAAGACTAATTGATGGAAAATTTGAAAAAATACATTCTTTAACATACAAATATAGTTTATTATTTGCCACTATATCTAATAATGGATAATATTTGGTCACTTGGATAGGTAAACATTAAAATGAACCATATAGTATGGTTCAACATGATATATATTAGATATATGAATTAGAATATTAATGAATTTGAGATATTAAAGTTTACTTTTTTATTTTATATTCTTAAAATTTGTTTAAAGATAATTATAAAATATTTTTTCTATTTTGATTTAAAAAGATTATTTAATAATATAATTATTTTAATTAAAAATTATAAATATTAATTTTTTCATTCATCATCAAAGAATGTAATAGATTCTTAACCTAATGTTATAAATCTATTATATTTGGCATTCATTATAACAGTTAAAAAAGTTCCTTCATTATGAACTGGATATGTATTCATAATAGCATAAACACCAAACTCATTCTTTAAATTATTTTTCATTTTTTACAGTAAATTCTCTGCAGCTGTTCTTCTTGGATCATCTTCTGGATCTGGTAACCAATGATCATAATTTGTTTAAACTAAATACTTAATTCCAATTGGGCTATTTAATCTCAAAGTTTGTAAAGTTTCCTATGGTCCTCTTGAAATAACAACACCTTGATCTTTACCAATACCAGCAACAATATTATATAATGCACATCCTACTTCATAATTCTCAAGATAGTAAACTACTTTTTCAAATGTATTAAGTTTTTCATTTATTAAAATTTCTCTAAAGACTTAAGTCAATGATGGTAATCCTTTTTAAATATATGTCAATACTGATTCCTTAGTTAATTATTTGTCATATCTCCAATTTTCTTCAAGAGTAACAACATTATATTTCAATGCTGTAATAAATCCACCTTTGAACCAATACCAATCAACTACTTCTCCAAGATATTTTCCATCCTTTTTAATAAATAAATGCAAAACTAAATTTCTTCCTTATCCTGGTGCTTAATCCATGTTTCTTCCATGAATTACCTAATCACCTACTGATAATAAAACTCCTGTGCACTCATAAAAATAATTTGTAATATGTGCTATCTCATGAAAATATGCCCAACCAGCCATATATTCAAAGGTGATCTCTGGTCTATTTAATACTTCAATTATCCCTTCCAATTCCAATGAATGTTCTGGGAAATTCTTTCTTAAAGCTTATGCTATTGTAGTATAGTCATCTTAATTTAAGACATCAAAAGAATATTTATTATGAAAAGCAAATACCGGACCAAAAGAATTATCATATCCATATAAATCAAGAACTGTTTGAACAGCCTCCTTCCACCTTTATTTTGGTGGAGCACTTAAGTCTATTTCCAGTTCAGGAATATGAGTATAACAAAATATCGTTGTGAATAGCACGAATAATAATGTTTAATGCATTCAATATATTTTTATAATTTTGTCATTTTAATTATTTTTATAGTATATGATGACTTCATCTTAATAATAAAATTACTTCATTATTAATTAGATTCAACTATAATTTTTTTATTAGTAATTAAGTAATTTTGCTTTTTAAGAGATAGATATTAATATTAAATCATTTAATCAAATCTATATAATATATACATTTTAATAATAAAAAATAATATATCATTTTAAATTGAAGATGAAGTTTTAAATAAATCCATACTCAAATATACAAGAAATTTAAATAAACAGAATATCATAATCGTTCAAAATTAAAAAGTAATTTTAATGATCAAAATATTTAATAAAAAATGAATTTATAACTATATATTTAGAATGATGGATTTTGAATTTAAATTTTTTTTCTATTAAATAAGTATCGATTTGACTAATCTAGAAAAACAGAAAATATTTAATATACGTTATACTTTATTCTATAATGTCTTTTTTATTTAAAAATTTATAAATAATGTTAAAAATATGTTGAAAAAGAAACTTTTTGATGATTCCAAAAATTATTAAACAATAGATCTTAAGACTATTTATATTTAAAATAACTAAAAAAATACAATTTCAATAGTCAACAAAATATTTCATGTCTATTTATATTTTTATCTTTTTGATATTCAATAATTTTGGATGAAATTATTGAGATTTTTTTGAAAATTTGTTTACAAAAAACTNTAATCCTTTTTAAATATATGTCAATACTGATTCCTTAGTTAATTATTTGTCATATCTCCAATTTTCTTCAAGAGTAACAACATTATATTTCAATGCTGTAATAAATCCACCTTTGAACCAATACCAATCAACTACTTCTCCAAGATATTTTCCATCCTTTTTAATAAATAAATGCAAAACTAAATTTCTTCCTTATCCTGGTGCTTAATCCATGTTTCTTCCATGAATTACCTAATCACCTACTGATAATAAAACTCCTGTGCACTCATAAAAATAATTTGTAATATGTGCTATCTCATGAAAATATGCCCAACCAGCCATATATTCAAAGGTGATCTCTGGTCTATTTAATACTTCAATTATCCCTTCCAATTCCAATGAATGTTCTGGGAAATTCTTTCTTAAAGCTTATGCTATTGTAGTATAGTCATCTTAATTTAAGACATCAAAAGAATATTTATTATGAAAAGCAAATACCGGACCAAAAGAATTATCATATCCATATAAATCAAGAACTGTTTGAACAGCCTCCTTCCACCTTTATTTTGGTGGAGCACTTAAGTCTATTTCCAGTTCAGGAATATGAGTATAACAAAATATCGTTGTGAATAGCACGAATAATAATGTTTAATGCATTCAATATATTTTTATAATTTTGTCATTTTAATTATTTTTATAGTATATGATGACTTCATCTTAATAATAAAATTACTTCATTATTAATTAGATTCAACTATAATTTTTTTATTAGTAATTAAGTAATTTTGCTTTTTAAGAGATAGATATTAATATTAAATCATTTAATCAAATCTATATAATATNGATTATTTAATAATATAATTATTTTAATTAAAAATTATAAATATTAATTTTTTCATTCATCATCAAAGAATGTAATAGATTCTTAACCTAATGTTATAAATCTATTATATTTGGCATTCATTATAACAGTTAAAAAAGTTCCTTCATTATGAACTGGATATGTATTCATAATAGCATAAACACCAAACTCATTCTTTAAATTATTTTTCATTTTTTACAGTAAATTCTCTGCAGCTGTTCTTCTTGGATCATCTTCTGGATCTGGTAACCAATGATCATAATTTGTTTAAACTAAATACTTAATTCCAATTGGGCTATTTAATCTCAAAGTTTGTAAAGTTTCCTATGGTCCTCTTGAAATAACAACACCTTGATCTTTACCAATACCAGCAACAATATTATATAATGCACATCCTACTTCATAATTCTCAAGATAGTAAACTACTTTTTCAAATGTATTAAGTTTTTCATTTATTAAAATTTCTCTAAAGACTTAAGTCAATGATGGTAATCCTTTTTAAATATATGTCAATACTGATTCCTTAGTTAATTATTTGTCATATCTCCAATTTTCTTCAAGAGTAACAACATTATATTTCAATGCTGTAATAAATCCACCTTTGAACCAATACCAATCAACTACTTCTCCAAGATATTTTCCATCCTTTTTAATAAATAAATGCAAAACTAAATTTCTTCCTTATCCTGGTGCTTAATCCATGTTTCTTCCATGAATTACCTAATCACCTACTGATAATAAAACTCCTGTGCACTCATAAAAATAATTTGTAATATGTGCTATCTCATGAAAATATGCCCAACCAGCCATATATTCAAAGGTGATCTCTGGTCTATTTAATACTTCAATTATCCCTTCCAATTCCAATGAATGTTCTGGGAAATTCTTTCTTAAAGCTTATGCTATTGTAGTATAGTCATCTTAATTTAAGACATCAAAAGAATATTTATTATGAAAAGCAAATACCGGACCAAAAGAATTATCATATCCATATAAATCAAGAACTGTTTGAACAGCCTCCTTCCACCTTTATTTTGGTGGAGCACTTAAGTCTATTTCCAGTTCAGGAATATGAGTATAACAAAATATCGTTGTGAATAGCACGAATAATAATGTTTAATGCATTCAATATATTTTTATAATTTTGTCATTTTAATTATTTTTATAGTATATGATGACTTCATCTTAATAATAAAATTACTTCATTATTAATTAGATTCAACTATAATTTTTTTATTAGTAATTAAGTAATTTTGCTTTTTAAGAGATAGATATTAATATTAAATCATTTAATCAAATCTATATAATAAAATTGACTCTTTTTTTGAAAAATCTACAAGTATAATATATACATTTTAATAATAAAAAATAATATATCATTTTAAATTGAAGATGAAGTTTTAAATAAATCCATACTCAAATATACAAGAAATTTAAATAAACAGAATATCATAATCGTTCAAAATTAAAAAGTAATTTTAATGATCAAAATATTTAATAAAAAATGAATTTATAACTATATATTTAGAATGATGGATTTTGAATTTAAATTTTTTTTCTATTAAATAAGTATCGATTTGACTAATCTAGAAAAACAGAAAATATTTAATATACGTTATACTTTATTCTATAATGTCTTTTTTATTTAAAAATTTATAAATAATGTTAAAAATATGTTGAAAAAGAAACTTTTTGATGATTCCAAAAATTATTAAACAATAGATCTTAAGACTATTTATATTTAAAATAACTAAAAAAATACAATTTCAATAGTCAACAAAATATTTCATGTCTATTTATATTTTTATCTTTTTGATATTCAATAATTTTGGATGAAATTATTGAGATTTTTTTGAAAATTTGTTTACAAAAAACTAAAGCTAAACTGAGCATTAAGATGCCCATATGAAAAAATCCAAATTTTAACATAGTTTGATAGGTAAATAAATTCTCTTTATAATAAACATATGTAGTTAAACTAAAAAGTGCTACAGTAGCTTCTGTAAATATGTTAACAAATTTATCTAATTTATTAATTTGTTAATATTTTTAGATAAAAAAGCAATGAATAATGCTATTAATTGCTATTAATAATGACTAAATTATTGATTAATTTTAAAAGAAAACTAGCACAATATGAAACAAAAATGTTCGAAAAATATCTAATGTTGCATATCTAATTTAAAGGGAATTTTTATCAGTACATTAATTCTTTATGATACTTTTGCTATATGATTACAAAACAATTATTAAATAAAATGTTAAAATAGAAAGGCTGCTAAAATATTAAAATTATTCTCTTGGGTTTTATCGTTTATTAAAATGAATTTGTAATAATAGTTTAAATAAAATATCCCAAGCATTTAAAGAGAAAATGGGCATGATTAATTATAAACTAAATTAATATCTATATTTTATGATCTTCTTAATTTATTAGCCAACATTTAGGAAAAAGTATATAAGTTTCTAATTAACGCTTTATTGATTTTACAATTAATAATTTGAAAATTATTTTGAAAAAAAATTTTAGTACATGACATAGATTTTCTTGCTTTTATATATTATTGTTAAAAGTATAAAAAGCTAGGACATTTATGGTATTAAATTTAAAATAAGATCGCAATCTACATCATATAATGCAAACTTTCCAGTAGTACTTATTTAATTATCTTCTTTTTTTGTAATAATGCCTAAAACATATTCTATCTACAAACTCTATAAATAGTTTTATAATGATAACATTTCAGAAGTTTAAAAATAAATATATAAGTTTTCTGGATATTCAAGATTAATGAATTTAAGATATGACTGGTATTAAAGTGTGCTCAAAGTTTCAATAAATAAAGAAGCTTCGCCAAAAATCAATGAGACTAAAGAAATAGAAATAGCAGTGATCATAAATGCTTTGTTTGTTTGACTCATAGCAATCACTTTAGATTTTAATTCTTCACTCATAATTCTAGGAGAGTTGAGGAGTATAGATTGCTAAGGTTAAATAATAGTTTGATTATTGGAATTAACAACATTCTAAATCAAAAAAACTTATAAATTAGGTTTCTCTTAAAGTTCCTAAAATATTTCTATATCAATAATATATTATACAACTTATAAATCTTAAGAGATACCTACAATTGTATAAAGCTGTATATTATAATATTATTCTTTCAAATCTTAAATTAATATTTCAAAAGTCTAAAACTATTCTTCATCAGGTGATTCTGTAAATTGAACTTACTAATCAAAGTTAATCTCAACATACTAATGTGAGAAAGTTTAATTTAAAAATAATAATCTCATTCTAGGTCTGAGAGAAAATGCACATTCATCATGACGGCAAACCTCATTTTGGTTCTAATTTAAGTTATTAGGTTTTTGACTTTCTGTTTGTTTATTATAATCTTCATCTTCAACACATTTCTCATTATCTAATTCAAATCCTTAAATGCATTCTACACATATGCCTTTCAAACAAACACCACAAAATTAATTACATTAATATTAACAGTTTGAACATCCATCAAAATCTATATTATTCCCATCATCGCATTCTTCATCACCATTTAATATAGAATCACCACAACAAGAATTATTAATTAAGATAGTCCCTAAGGGACATGATTAATTAAGGCAAATTCCTTTATCACAAAGCGTACATAGTTCACTACATTGAAATTTACATTCATTGCAACCATCATATGGAATCATATTAGAGTCATCACATTCTTCATTACCAGCTACTATACCATCTCCGCATAAGTTAACACAACTATTAGAGAAACTCTCATAATAGAAGCCATCTTAAGCTTCACAAGATTGTAGTGATTCACATTTTAATTTGGACTAGACTAAGAAAAATGATTCTAAACATTGAACACATTATGCAAATTAACAATCAGCACATTCAATTTCACATTAATATTAGCATTAGAAGCATCCATCATACTCTATATCATTTCCATCATCACAAACCTCATTGGATGCTAAAATATTATCGCCACAAATAGAATAACAAGTATTGCTAACTATATCTAAATAAAATCCAGATTAACACTCTTAACAAATACCAAAAACGCATAGTTTACAAAAATCAGGACATACTAATTTACAATTTGAACATTGATTAATTAAACGACCTTTTCCTTCATCACATTCTTCTTGAGATGTAATAATATTATCTCCACATTTTGATATACATTTTTATCCATAATAACCTTATTTGCATTCTATACAATTATTAAATTTGCAGATTTTACAATTTTAAGGACATATATCAAATTCTAAATCTGGATTTGTTATAAAATCTATGAATTCTTAATTTTAAGTAAGACATTAATTATCTTTCATCTATACACAATTTATTTCTAAATCAAATTTAGTTTTTTTGATGGGAATGCAATTATTATATATATTATCAAGTTCAAAATTAGTTTAACATATTGTGCAAATTCCATTTTGACAAATCTCACAATTTTCTGAACATTGAAAACATTAATAGCATCCATCATTGCTGAATAAAATGTAATCACATTATTCTTAAGGAATTTTAATTTAGTTTTCACATTTCAATTAACAAACAGATAATACTAATTCATAATTATCTAAACAATTTAAACATTTTCCTTTAATGCAATCTAAACATGAATCTTAACAACTATATTAACAAAAATGACATCCATCTCCAATTATTAAATTACCATCATCACATTCCTCATCAATAGTTATAATCTTATCTCCACAAATAGAATAACAAATATAATCAATTATTTCATAACCAATATCACATTACAAACAACCTTTTCCTGTTGTATCACATACTAAACAAGACAATTAACACTTTATTTTACAATTCTAACATCCTCTGTAGGGCAAAATATAACTATCTTCACACATTTCTTTTTCAACCAATAAGGAATCATAACAAATAGGTTCACAAATACTATTAATAAGTAAGTATCCTTATTTACAGGATTTACAATCAGAATTGCAACCTAAATCATCGCAAACTTCTGCAAAGAATCCATAAGGATCTACTACTACTAAACCATCTCCACAATCATTTTAGCAAAAAAATTATTTTGGAACAAATCCTGGGAATTCACATGCTAGACAAATACCTGTGTCATAATTGCATGATGAACAACCAATCCGACAAAAATATCTACACTCCTTGCATCCATCAGTATCTGATTAATTAGCATCTTCACATTATTCCTCTCCTACCAACATTAAATCACCACATCTCTCATTACATTTCCATGTTAATGGATCTATATACCACCCTCCAGCACATTCTTAGCAAATACCCATCAAACATCTTGTACAGGAAGCTTAGCATTAAAATTTGCAATGATAGCATCCATCGAACTATATATCATTACCATCTTCACATTCTTCTAGGCCAGTAACTAATCCATCTCCACATACATCTGAACAAGGAAGTATAGTATCTATATTACAAGTTAGACAATGTGCTGGACATTAAAATCTACAATTAAAACATTTATCATTTAAAACTCTGTTATCATCATCACATTCTTCATTTCCTAATATTTATAAATCACCACAAATAGGTTAACATTCTGTATTAACTAATTGAAAACCTGTATCACATGATGCACATCCTGGAAAATGCCATATTAATATATTACTAGCACATGAAACATAACACTATGTCAAAGAAGTATCTTCACTCACAGGACAATCTAATAAATAGTGATGTAATATACTCTAACAAACATTAGCATTCTCATAGTAACCAGCGGAACATTCACATTTTAATCCTTTAAGAACTCTGTTTTAAGTTTCATCACAAGTTAAGCATCCATTCATATTATTTGTAAAACAAGTTAAACATGTTGAATGACAATTAATGCAAGAATTAGAAAATTCTTCATAAAATTTTTTATCTGGACATTTGCAAGTATTGCCATTATGTTCGATATCAGATATGTCATTACAAATTAAACAATCAGTATAAGATGGGCCATTACATGTTTTACAGAATATATGGCATTATAAACATATTGAATTGCTGATTTATGGATAATATCCCTACATACAGACACATTATCCATTAACTTGCTCTCTAAAATCAGTAAGAAAGCATTCTATACAATAATTTGTATTTAAACATTATGTACATAAAGTAGGGCAATCATGACATTAATTTAAATCCTCATATTGATTTTTTTTACAGACACAACCTAATTTAGTTAAAGTATAAGTATCTAAACAACCTTAACAATCAATAGGAGAAGTACAAGAAGTACAAGATGATGGGCAAGTCAAACATTTTACTTCATTTCTACTGTAATATTAATTACCTAAGCATTCAGATTATGAGAATTTTATAACATTTACATTGTATGTACTATTCCATTAGGTGCAAGTATGTTGATCTGTGCATTATAAACAAAATGGCTAACATTAATGAACAGCAATATAATAATTAAGAAATGCACAATATGATGTAACAGGTTCATTTTCAATACCAAAACATTCCCATTACATATTTAACGAATTAGTATTATGGATAATTTTATAATAAACTCTAAAGGTTTTTGTTCCATCATCATTGGGGTTTGGGACCATACCAATATCAATAGATTCAGTAGGATATGATTCAATAGTGAAAATAAATGATCCACTTTAAGGAAAGGTTGGACCAAATAATATATCGAACCCTATAGTAATACTATGATGAGGATCTTGTATTTCGTGCACTCTCTAAAATTTAGCCTAAGCCCAAACATAAGGACCACCAAAAACTCTATAAGTTTTCCAATATGAATAAAGGATATCAACACCCTTTAAGAAATTTACATTAGGTTATGAAGATGCTGAAAGTAAAGTATACTAATTTCTTTAAGTTAGATCATTTGCATAATCAATATATTCTTATATCAAAAATTTGGAATCTAATTATTTTGTAAATTAATATACATGGGGTTTCATCGTCGTAATCTGTACAATGGGTGTCATTTGCTTTTTAGTATGGTTTGTGGCAATTCTGAATGCATCTACCATCTCTATATCTTAATAAAGAGCCTATGCAAGTTTTACACTAAAATGATACTTCACACTCCTTACAATTTTATGGACAGTATCCAGAAGAGACTGTTAAGGAAACCAATCCCCATCCAGCACTATCATCTCTAAAAGTTACAATAAATAAAATACGTGAAATTACTAGAGGATGAAAATAAAAATGGATATGGAGGTATATCAACGAACATGTGCAATTCATATTTTTCACAATTTGAATATGGAAGCCATTATCCCAAAGAAATCACATCAAATATTTTCAAATTATGGGTTTATATTTCTGAGGAGATCTTAAATATGGAACCAAAATATGTATTATTAAGTTGGAAGTTTATACCTCCTTACGNTCATTACAAATTAAACAATCAGTATAAGATGGGCCATTACATGTTTTACAGAATATATGGCATTATAAACATATTGAATTGCTGATTTATGGATAATATCCCTACATACAGACACATTATCCATTAACTTGCTCTCTAAAATCAGTAAGAAAGCATTCTATACAATAATTTGTATTTAAACATTATGTACATAAAGTAGGGCAATCATGACATTAATTTAAATCCTCATATTGATTTTTTTTACAGACACAACCTAATTTAGTTAAAGTATAAGTATCTAAACAACCTTAACAATCAATAGGAGAAGTACAAGAAGTACAAGATGATGGGCAAGTCAAACATTTTACTTCATTTCTACTGTAATATTAATTACCTAAGCATTCAGATTATGAGAATTTTATAACATTTACATTGTATGTACTATTCCATTAGGTGCAAGTATGTTGATCTGTGCATTATAAACAAAATGGCTAACATTAATGAACAGCAATATAATAATTAAGAAATGCACAATATGATGTAACAGGTTCATTTTCAATACCAAAACATTCCCATTACATATTTAACGAATTAGTATTATGGATAATTTTATAATAAACTCTAAAGGTTTTTGTTCCATCATCATTGGGGTTTGGGACCATACCAATATCAATAGATTCAGTAGGATATGATTCAATAGTGAAAATAAATGATCCACTTTAAGGAAAGGTTGGACCAAATAATATATCGAACCCTATAGTAATACTATGATGAGGATCTTGTATTTCGTGCACTCTCTAAAATTTAGCCTAAGCCCAAACATAAGGACCACCAAAAACTCTATAAGTTTTCCAATATGAATAAAGGATATCAACACCCTTTAAGAAATTTACATTAGGTTATGAAGATGCTGAAAGTAAAGTATACTAATTTCTTTAAGTTAGATCATTTGCATAATCAATATATTCTTATATCAAAAATTTGGAATCTAATTATTTTGTAAATTAATATACATGGGGTTTCATCGTCGTAATCTGTACAATGGGTGTCATTTGCTTTTTAGTATGGTTTGTGGCAATTCTGAATGCATCTACCATCTCTATATCTTAATAAAGAGCCTATGCAAGTTTTACACTAAAATGATACTTCACACTCCTTACAATTTTATGGACAGTATCCAGAAGAGACTGTTAAGGAAACCAATCCCCATCCAGCACTATCATCTCTAAAAGTTACAATAAATAAAATACGTGAAATTACTAGAGGATGAAAATAAAAATGGATATGGAGGTATATCAACGAACATGTGCAATTCATATTTTTCACAATTTGAATATGGAAGCCATTATCCCAAAGAAATCACATCAAATATTTTCAAATTATGGGTTTATATTTCTGAGGAGATCTTAAATATGGAACCAAAATATGTATTATTAAGTTGGAAGTTTATACCTCCTTACGTTGGAAAAAGACCAAATATTACAATTATAATTTGAAAGCCAATTAATTTAGATCCTTAATCTGGTGATATTTCATTAACAAATCTTTAAATCCCAGATTTATATTTGAAAACACCATAACATAATATATTAGCGCGATTGTCAAGCCCAATAGAATTATCAAGGTTATTTTTGTCATAATTAATTGACCATTTTAGATTTTCAACATTAAATGGATTATTTTCAAATTTAGTCCTCTAGAAATAATACACTTTATAAGATCATATATTACCTGGGTATTCTTAGCAGAATCCATTTTTAAATAGTACTGAGTCAAAATCACACAAGTACCTACATCCCAAAAATTTCACATAATATTAGTTAATTGGACATAATGGACAAATATTTCCAGATATTGTACCATAGTAGCAACTTTAACATTAATTTGGTGCAGGACCATCACAAGTCTTGCAGGAAGGATAGCATTTGAGTTTTGTTATAACAATATTTCTTATAGAAACCATTCCACCCATATTATTTGATGATTCAAGGGACATCTCTCCTGAACACACTGTTACGAATAAATAATTATATGTTTAAACCTAGTATGGCATATTATCACAAAATCCTGATGTCAAAAAGTAAGGATTCTGAGATGTATAATAATTAGTTTAACTACAGGTGCCTATTTTTATCATCACAAATTAATTATTCCAAGTACCATGGAAATATAAATCATAAGATATTGCAAATCTCTATGAAAAATAAAACGAGTTGTTATATTCTACTCCAACGTTGCTTTAATCTAAGGTGATATAACTTGTAAGTGGATTTGAACAATTAATAAAATTTGCAGTAGTGAATGTTGTTAAAGGTTTGAAAAAATTTTCTGTATATTTATAAGCATCATAGCGTGTAGCCTCTTAAAATATTGCGTTTTTTGTCAAATAATTATCATATGGATACCATTATGAGGCAAATTCTTGGAATAAGGTTATGAGAAAGAAAATTTACATAAATTTATATAATACCTAATGATGTCATGTAAAAAATTAATTGTTTTGATCAAATAATGATATTTGATTCTATTTTATATTAATATTTTCTAATTCAATTAGCTTTTGTTTAAATAATTATTAAGCTTTATTTGATATATAATAGTAATTAAATATAAATATTTTCGCTAAATTGTCCTTAACACATTACTAAAACTTCTTCTCAACCATCTTTATGTTATGGATTAATTCATAAAGTAAATTATTTTGAAAAATATATTAATCATATATCAAATTATCTAAATTGTCTGTAAATAAATATGATAATTATTAAAGGAGGATAATTCAAAAAGGATATAAACTTAATTTATGGACATTGAATTTTTTGTAAGAAATTTTTTTGGGAATGATGTCAGCTTTTACAAAATAAAATTTTAACCATTCTTAAGGTAACTTTCGTGATTAAAGGACATTTTGTGTAAAAAATACTAAATATTATAAGAAATAAATTTTTAATTTTAGAGTTAAGATTTGAGAAAATCATTGGAATTTAAAATTATTTTGAATAAAAATTAATTGTCCATTTTTTTTTATTATAATATTATCAACGAACAAATTATTCTTTGCCTTTATTTTAAGGTAATGGAGTCCTTTCTACTAGAGAAGATTGATAAAAAATAATAATCATAAATAACAAATTCAATTTCAATAAGATATTTCTCAAAATAATTGATTCTAAAGGCTCTCAATTTTTTTACAAAAGGAAACACTTGTTTCCTGAATACTATTTCAAAATAATATGGTATTATTTTCAAGTCATAAGCCTATAAATGATACTCTTCCATAAATTTTGAATAAATTATTTAACTCTTCTATAAATCTTCATGTAATTTATATTGAATTGTTGTTTGATCATATAGCTTGTTAATTAAAAATTATTGTATTTTTATGTTTGCTTATTCTAATTTCCTTATAAATAATCTGAAGTGGTTGATCTTTTTATAGCAGCACTCTCTTAACTTATCATTTTTTATAAGAATTTAATATTTTATTTTAAATTCTTAACTCTTCCATAAATTTGGGGGAATATTATTTTTTGTCGATACCCTAAAGGAATAAAATATGATTTAAATATATTAAATACACAGAAGTTTCAAAATATGAAAATTGTAATTGCTATCATTTTGAATCATATATAATTTTTTTGAGCATCTCTAATTGGTTTAAAAAGACTCTTTTTCCAACTTTCTATAAGTGAATGATTCTTTTAACTAAACTCTTAATAGTTTTACTTAAAAATCTACTATAAATGAACAGGTACTGTTTAACTATAAATTATTTAATTCATGAAAATAAGTATTCAATCCATTTATGTATGGTTTATAAGTTTTTGTAACAATGCCAGATACCTGGTTTAATATATTTCTATCAAATTAGATATATTAGGGTCCTATTTTGTTTTTGGGACTAAGCAATCTGATTTTCATTAATTTCTAGATTAAATGAATTAATTTTATATTGAAATAATTTATGTAACTAGTTATTAGACTAATTTCTAATAATTAAAAAATAGCATAAATATAATAATAACTTAATCCGCAATTGATAATCTAATAAAAAATAGAAGAACAACTGTACTTGGTTAATTTTTGATTGATAATTTTATGTATGTAAATATGATTTAAATGTTAATTATTCTATTTATTTTTTTGACCAATTCATAAGATAAATTATTCTAACCAAAGAGTGAAAATAATTTATCTGATTTTAATATATATA